TGTGGGGGTCTGCAGTGTGAGTTGTCCTTGGGTATCTGGCTTCCTTAAGAATGGCAGAGTAGTTCTTGTTTTCCCTTGAGGTAATGCAGGGCTGGTAATCATCATCTTCTCAAGTTGCAAGTTCTTCAACCTTGTTTTCGGCCTCCAGGCCATCCAGCGCTGGAGAGGCCAGGGAGGACGCTCCCCCTCTGGGGGGGGCAGGCCGTTCCCAGCGCGCGGCTGTGCAGCAGGGGCGGGAGCCCCCGGCCACGGCCCCCTCCCCAGGGGAGGGGGCGCAGGCCAATTTTTGATACTAGATGAGTTGATTTAGAGATACCACAAAACTCTGACTTGAACAGGTACTTCATCATCCATTACTAGAGCCAGTATTCCCATTTTATTTTATTTTTTATTTATTTATAAATTAATTACTTGGGGTGCTAATAGGAGCTATGCCAGTAGCTACAGAACTTGCCCAATATTATCAATCCGAGGAGAAGCCAATAGGGCCACAAGGCCCAACCTTGACTAGTTCTACATTCTGATATAGTAATCCTTTACAGTCCCAGCCACAGTGGCTCAGGTGGTAGGGACTGTCAGACCCGCTGACGGCGAACAGTTCCTGAGTTGGGGGGCAAGGCTTAAAGAAAGACAAGAAGGCAGGATAGAAATGGGAGGACTGCCAGTCGATACTGGTCAGCCACGAATGTACTTTATTGCTAGTATTTATACACATTCCAGAGACTTCTGTGATGTAAGGTTTTAAGTCCTTACTGAATTTATCAGGTTGTTATAACAATACTTTGGAACATTCAGTTCCAAACAATCCCAAGACATTCTGCTCATAACAATCCAGCCGCCCAAGGCCATGTCTGGATAAAGACCCTGGTCTTATTCTGGTGGTCATGTCTTACACATTCCTCACGTCTCCTTGTTGGCTCCCCACAGGGCACAATACTGGAACCATATGGAAGGCCTGGGTTCAAATCCTTTGTCAACCTGAACATGTGGCTTTTGTGATCCTAGATGGCTGGAATCTGGGGGAAGGATCACAATGTGGCAAGATCCTGTCAAGGGTATCCTTCTCTCTTATGAAATGAATAAGTAAAACAAACTTTTAAAAATCAACATTTGCAGAGTCCCATTCTCTTAGGTCTTTTCTTAATGTCCTCTTCAGCAGTCATAAATTTGACCTGTGGTATCTTTTTTTTTTCTAACAAGGTTTTACATATCCCCCAAAAGACATTGTTGTGTATTGGGTATCAATGGATGCTTCTAGGTGAGCGATGTGTATCTCCTGGAGATTCTGTCTAATCTGATAATTTTCAAAACTCCTATGATCTATGAAAAGCTTAAGTTTTCTTAAACTTGATTCATATGAAAATATTTATTAGTATTTCTAGTAGCAGTTGCTTTTCCCATACTGGGATTTATACAAGATCAAGAATATGCTATCATGCCAGCAAGTGGTGTGGAGGGTAAGGTGCTGGGATCCCACATGGCTGACTTCACAGTTTGAACCCTAGACCCAGTGGTTTGAAAGTGAATGTGTGTGTGTGTATGCCCTAAATCCTGAGAGGAGAGTGGAGGAGAAGGGATTGCGGCATGGCCATCTCTCCTGGGGAATGATTTCTCACTATCCTATACCTCTGTCTCTCTTCAGTGAGTGCATGTGCCCTAAAGCGAAACTAAAAAAGAAAGAAAGAAAAAAACCCCACAAAAACCTATCATTATATTATTGAAAATGTCGTTAATTTTAGGAAATGACTCACTCAAGGATACAGCTCTACAGGTGAGATCACTGGACACACTAGCTAGTGAGAAGACTCTGAGGTTTTGTTTGTTTTTTCTTTTTTAAAGATTTTGCTATAGGGTGTGTGCATTCACTGGAGAGACAGAGAGAGACAGAAAGTGAGAATTCACCCCCCAGTGGGGAAGGCCACACCACAATTCTGTCTCCTCCATTCTTCTCTTGGGATTTTGGACATGCATGCCCATGCGCCTGTTGTGAGTTTCAAGCCACTGGGTCTGAGACTTGAGTTGTGGTCAACCATGTGGGAATCCAGCGCCTTAACCACTATGCAACCTACTAGCCTCCCCAGCCTTTTTCTGTTTATCCATTTAGTCCATGAGTGAGAGAGAGAGAGAAAGAAAGATATACAACACTCCCAACTGGAACCCCATGCTGTGATCCACCTCCAGCCAATAAAAAGAAAAAAAAATTGAATGAATACTGTTTCAAAAAAGATAAACAGATGGCGAAGTTGTGCAAGATAATTATTTAATTATTAGGAAAATTTAAATCAGAACAAGAGACCTCTACATACCTGCTAGGATGGAAAAAATTAAAATGGTCCGTAACACCAAATGCTGGTGAGGATTTGGAGCCACTAGAAATTACCTCAGTTTATGATGAGATTCCAAAATGATAGTCACTTTGGAAAACAGCTTAGTAACTTAAAAAATTAAACATACACTTATACATCCCACTTTTGAGAATTTACTCAAAAGAAATAAAAAATATTTGTCTACATAAGCATTTATATGCAAATATTTATATCAGCCCCCAACCAGACAAAGCCTAAATGTCTATCAACTCATAAATGACTAGACTACTTATAAAGGGGGTAAGTATGAGGGCCCAGCAGATGGCATAGTGGTTAAGGCACTGGACTCCCACATAGTCGACAGTGGTTTGAGACCTGGACCCAAGGGCTTGAAAAATCACTCCAGGCCCATGGGTGCATGCCCAAAATCCTGGTAGGAGAGTGGAAGAGAAGGGATTGTGGTATGCTCGTCCCCTCTGGGGAATGATTTGTCACTTTCCTTTTTTCAGTCTCTCTCCAGTGAGTGCACATGCCCTATGGCAAAAACTTACAAAGAAAACAAAAGCTTATGGTACATACATACAATGAAATGCTAAATAGCTGTGACCAGCAGGTGGCATGGCGGCTAAGGGCGTTGTACTCCCACATGACCAACCATGCATGATTCAAGTCTTGGACCTGTTAGCTTGCTTTCTCACTCCTCACCCCCCAATCTCTGGTCAAATTGGAAAAAAAAAAGTTTAAATAATTCTTTTTTTAAAAAAATGCTACCCAGCAATAATGAGGAACAAACTATTGTTACTTCTAACAACTTAAATACATCTTGAAAGTATGATGCTAAGTAAAAAATGCCACACACTGAAATCTATATACTATGATCCCGTTTAAATGGCATTTTCTTTTTCTAAAAATTAAAAAAAAATCATCATAGAGCATGTGTGTACACACGTGATAATGAGGGAGTGGGAGCGGGAGCGGGAGCATCCTCCACAGAGTCTGTTTATGACATTGATCTTCTTTCAGTCCTCTAATACATCTGATCCTGGGCATTTTTACACCTGACTGGCCTGTTTCAGGCAGATCAACCGGAGGATTCAGACTGTGGTTGCCATGTAGGATATTGCTTTCTTGGAGCAGTGCATTACCACTGCATCTTGGAGCTGGCCATGAGTGACATTTTTCACAAAGACAAAAGAATAGCGTCAGAAAACATATATATCATTGCCTAGGGGTAGACATGGGAGCGCAGCTGACTAGAAAGGGGCACATGGGAACATTCTGGAATCATGGAAATGTTCTATATCTTGATTGTTGTGGTAGTTACATGACTATAAAGATTTAATAGAGCTGGGTCCTTAGAGTGAGTTTTATTGTTTGTAAATATACCTTAATTTTTAAAAAAGTAATTAAAATTTATGCCTCCAGGCTTACCTCAAAACTATGGCTCTCCTAGTGATTTAAACAGGTAATTTAAAAATTTTAATCTATTTCTTTACCAGTTTATTAACAAATTACTAACTGTAGTGGTTTTGTAGATTGGCAGATACAGGTGGCTAAGACCGAGTTTTCAGTCAAACAAAAGTTGGATACGTTGCCTGTGCTTGGGTACAAGGTAGGTCCCTGTGCACAAGGCTTTGCAATTCTTTTGCACTGTCTTTTGGCACTGATAACCTAAATGCAATATCTTTGAAATGATGTTTTAATGTGTTCTTTATTCTAATGCCATGACACTTTTAGAAGCATGGTTATTAAATTTAAAATATTTTGTGCCTATTTCACAAGCAGAAAGTAAACATTTGGTAAACTTTAAGCAGAAAAAATTATTAATGACTTTTTTTTTCTTTACTGCTTCCCCCTCACTCCCAATTTCTTATCCAGTACCAGATGTGCCAAGGACAGGAGATGCAAAAATACATGAAAATGGTCTCTACCTTTGAAGAGCTCATCGTTTAGTGGCCTTTTAGACCTTTAGAACAGATTGGAAATTTAATGATAAAATTCAGATATTAGCAAGGGCAGTTAAAAGCATTTACCGAGTCATATCTAATTTCTGCAAGCTTCTACCTGTCTGCTCTAAACAGCACATAGTGGCTGAATTCCGGTTCCTGGTGATCTAGAAATAAGAAAAAAAAAAAAGTAGAGTGCATTTGAACCAAATATTCTGTGAGGTTCCTTTTTGTGGTAAGATTTAGAATTTTTCATGTTAAGTTGGCATCTTACGTTTTGAAGAAAGGGATCTAAATGTACATAAAGCATATTCGGCCCTTGCTACTCAAAATGCAGCCTACAAACTTGCATCGCTGGTATTACCTGAGCATTTGTTAGACATGCAGAAATTCAGCCCCACCCTAGACCTTCTGAATCAGAATCCGCAGTGTGGCAATATCCTCAGGTGAGGGGGTGCTCATTAAGGTTCGAGAAGCAAATCTTGTTGATGCCAATAGACATCAACACAGCTTGTGCTCTGAAGAGCATGTACCGTTTAGATCAGTGGTTCACAGAGTGTGGTCCCTAGATGGTTCAAATTGGCACTACCTGGGAACTCATCAGAAATGTAAGTTCTCAGATCCTGCCTCAGTCTTACTGAAACAGAAAGCTGGGTCAAGCTGAGCCAATTATTGGTATGAACTTCCCAGCTGATCCTGATGTCTAAGTTTGAGAGTCACTGTTTAGAGGATGGTGGAATAGGGTGTAAGTAGGTGCAGTCAGCCTTTCAATTCTCATGTCCTCGGGGTTTTGCCTTGAGCAGCACAAGAAAATTAAATGTGTACTAACAGTTATTTCTTTAGTGTTCAGATATGGGGACACATTATGAGATGATAGAGAGTTTTAATGAAGTGAACCTTAGTACATAAAAATAACTCCGTATTTGATGACTTAGACTCTAATGCTAGTAAAGTAGCGCTTTCTATTGATTTTTCAATCACTTCTACACATCAGTAATCATCATTAAAAGTTCTGTGTCAGTTTCAAAAGGAATTTTGTAGACAAGAGCAATAACAGAATCCATTGTTCCATGGAATACTCATACATATTAGCACATTTAGCTTTACCTTCGCTCTTGTTCTTTAATATTTTAATAACAATGGCTAAGCTTTAGAGAATAATTGATACTATATTTGTGGCATATGCGCTGTCCAAGGTGGTGGTTAATTACTCATGCCTGAGTGTGGCCTCAGCTATTTTGCTATATAAGGTTGCCTGCTCTTCCCAATTTCCTGTTTTCTGAATGGATGTTGCTTCAGATCTGGGCAAATGAAGACTTTTCTGAGGTTAAGAGTGCTGTTTCCCCTTCTTTCCCTGTTGTGGACTTGTGCTGGGGATTGGTCAGGTATAACATATGATTTGGAGAATAGGAGTTTTGTGATGAATGCTGAAAGATGTGACTTAATGGATTTTTTTGGTTCAGGTTTGGTTGAATCTTGCAAAAGCTAAGGATACAGGGCGGGTGGGGTGTCTCAGATGTGTGACCTTGAGATGTTGTGTTTCTCCTCTTGAATGCTACCTCTGAGACTAGGAGATGTGCACTTACTTGAGTGCTTCTTTCTTTTTCCCAACTCCCCTTCTTTTTTTTTTTTTTTTAAAAAAAAAAAACCAAAAACTATTTATTTTAATTCTTTTTAAAAATTTACTTTATACATTCAATCACTGTATACCACGACTGCTTGTAAAATGAATTTTCCCAGCAAGAATACATTGCATACCAGTTCAGTTGAAATATTATCATACATGTTATCAACAGTCCTCTGTTTTTGTGTCCCTTAAATGTCTTGCCTCTCTAATTTTCTTCTTGATTCCTTTCCTCTCACTCCCCTACCCCCATCCACCTCCCACACTGTCTCCAGTATTTCCAACTATTTTCCAAGCTGCTATATCCTCCAACCTTTTAGTTTCTGATTTATTTTAAATTAAATAAAAAAAAGATTAAAATTTTTTTGCTGTAGGGCTCATGTGCTTGCTAGAGAGAGAGAGAGAGAGAGAGAGAGGAAAAGTGAGAAAACACGATACAAGGGTGGGAATGATCCTGTTTTCTTCTTTCTCTGTCCATATGTAAGTTTCATAATTATTTGTTTCCCAATGCATTTTATGATTTTACATCAAATTTATGGATTTAAAAATATATTTTGCAGGAATTTAAATTTATCTTTAATTCTAGAGCTGTTTAGTTCAACATTATTCAGAGATTTATATTTGTAGCTTTGATCTATGTGCTTGATTTATGTAACTATTTTGCATCCCATTGAATAAATATATTGCAAATTATTTCTATTCCTATACTGATTACATTTTTCTAGTGTTATGCTGTTAAAAGTAATGTTTATACTTGAGGGTTTTTTGGGTACCAAGAAATGCAATCACAAGACTACTGCACACATGGATTTGAAAACTAATTTATTCTCGCTTGCTTCTCTAAAGAGGCTGTTCCAGTTTAGTCTTCCTGGAAGCACAAAAGTTTTCTTCAAATTTTATCAAATTTGGTGCTTATGGATGTCTTTTTTAAAAAAAAAATTAAAGAATTATTGATTTGTAATTATTCATTTTTTAAAAAAATTTGAATGAGAGAGAGAGAAAGAGAGAGAGAGAGGAGAGAGAGAGAGAGAGAGAGAGAGAGAGAGAGAGAGAGAGAGAGAGAGAAAGTGAGAAAGCAAGCAAGACAATAAGCCAGTAGGTCCAGGACTTGAACTGTGGTTGGCCATGTGGGAGTATCCAGTGCCTTAACCACCACATCACCTGCTGATCCCTACAGATGTTTTACTTTTTGAAAACCTTAGTGAGAAATAATTCCAGGTTTATTTCTTTTTTTCTTTTTTTTTTTTGGAGAGATTTTCACTGTAGGGCGCGTGTGCTCGCCAGACAGACAGAGAGAGACATAGAGACAGAAAGCGAGAAATCACCCCCCAGGGGGGATGGTCATGCCGCAGTCCCTTCTCCTCCATTCTCCTCTCAGGATCTTGTGCACGCACGCACACGCGCCCGGCGTGAGTTTTAAGCCACCGGGTCCGGGACACGAACCGCGGTCGACTACGTGGGAGTCCAGCGACATAGCCATTACGCTAACTGCTGGTTCCCACAGGTTTATTTCTCTTAAACAAAACTTCCTGGGACAGCCAGTGGCATGGTGATTGAGGTTGCTGGATCCCAGGTGGCTGACTGGTTTATGACAGACATGCTGGCATGTGTGTGAGAGTCCAGAATCTTGAAAGGAGAATGGAAGAGCAGGGATTGTGGCATGGCTATCCCCTGTGGCAGGTGCTTTCTCACTTTCCTCCTGATCTTCATATTTCTCTCTCTCCAGTGAGTGCATAAACACTTTAGCAAATTTAAGAAAATATTCTTATTTTTAGATAATTGTAGATTCACATAGAATTGTTGAGAATTAATACAGGAGAAATCAAATATATCATTTACTCAGTTTTACCCAATGAAAACGATTGAAGAACTATAATACAATATTTCATTGGGATATTGATAGAGCTAAATTCAGAACATTTCTATTGTAATGTGGTTACCCAATATTGTTTTTTTAGAGCCACTTTCACTTTCCTCCTGAACCAGTCATGCCAGCCTCCACTTTTCACCCCCAACATTTAATCTTTAATGACCACAAATCTATTCTTCATTTCTAAGATTATATCAATTTGAAAATGTTCTATGAATAGAGTCATACAGTATGTAACCTTTTGGGACTGACTCTTTTTTTTTCATTTAACATAATTCCCAAGATTCATGCAAATTGTTTCGTGTATCAATAGTTCACCCTTTTTATTTAATTTTAATGTTTTATCTTTATTTCCAAATAGTATTTCATGGCATGAATGTACCAGAGTTTATTTAACCGTTCATCCACTAATAGGCATCTGGGATGTTTACAGTTCTTGGATATTACAAATAAAGCTGTTATAAACACTTGTGCATATTTTACATAAACATACATTTTTCTTTCTCTAGGAGAACTGTCTATGTTTAATTGCTGGGTCATATGATAGTTGTATGTTTAGTTTTTTTAATTGCAGAATTATTTTCCAGTGTGTGTGTGATTTATTTTACATTACCATCAACAATGTATGAGTAATGGTTTCTCATTAGGATTAAGTTTTGTCACTATTTTTTATTTTAGCCATTCTGATAGGTGTGTAGTGATATCTCATTATGGTTTTTGTTTTCCTCTTGTCTATCCAGTATACTAATTTCTAAGTTGTTTTAACTCCCTTCCCCTGGAACCAAGTTCAAGTAACAGATAATCAGAAAATTGTTTCTGCTCTCAGATTTAAAAAAAAAATATTGTCCATATATTTCCAGTACTTGTGTGATTGCTACTCAATTTCTATGAAAGTCTGGTTGCTAGAATTTAGTTTCCTGGACATGTCTTTATTGCTATATCAAGCCTTAGCATCTTCTTGTGTATATCAGGAAACGTTTTTGGATCTGTAGAGAAGAAGCACGGAAATAAGGGCTAACATAGAGTTCTTGTTGAATAAGGGAGATGGAACAAAATCAATACTTAGCAAAGCTACTGCAATAAAGATATATTCTTATGATTACAACTCTAAAGAAAGATGACTTTAGAGAATTGGGTGATAAGATCTTGTTTTGTATTGTATACACACAGACACACACAGACACACACAGACACACACATACACCCTAAAGAGTTTCTCTAAAGGGTGTGTGTGTGTGTGTGTGTGTGTGTGTGTGTTGTTATGCAGCAATAATATGGAGATATCTATTGCAGACTTGCTCATCTCTAAGATACGCTTTATTTTATTAAGGGATGATCTTCTTGTATTAAATGGGTATAGTAAAATTTTCTGCGCTGGTCTATGTAATAGCATACTAACAAAAAGTTTCTCTTTTCTATCTCTCAGCCATTCAAGTACAATGTACCAATTTTTGGTTCTATACCAGGATTAAACCTACAATATTTCACAATTTGTATATGAATGCTGATGAAGTGTTTTTAGGTGATAACTGCCCTGTAACGCATGTTTTGCCGGATGTTTTTTATGAGTTTTTCTATCATCCTCATGACTGTGGCATCGTAACTAAAGTAAGGAATGATTGCCTTATGTAAAACCTGACTGAGTGTCTTCCAATTCAATCAACAGGCCCACAGACCAGCAGTCGCTGTTCTTACGTGTAACATGACTAGACTGATTCCTCTAGTAGCCACTTTGAGAGTGGGAGATGTTAAGACATGAGATGCTTAATACTTTTCTTACTGCAGACTCTAGGTTGGGGAGTGGAGAGTTTTGAGAGAAGAGTATTTTCTATGGATCGCAAAGTTTATCATGCAGTCTCCAACTTCATGAAGTTGTACCAAGTTATACTTCATGAAGTTTGACCAAAGGCAACCAGAGGAAGACAGCAACACTAGCGGAATGGCAGAAGACTTTCTGAAGTCAATGTTTAACACTGTACCACCATCATTCCTCCTCACCAGAGATTGGGGTGTGCCTTACTGGCTCATTGTGAGGTCATTTTGCCTATCAATGCTAAAAGCCTAACTGGAATTTTGACCTGATTGAAAACATTTTAAAAGTTAGTGAAACCTGGCTGTAACATTACTTATTTTGTTCACTATCCAAAATAAAATATTAAGAGATATTTCAAGTAATAGGATTTTGTCAGTTCTAGATAAATGTCATAAATTCACTTACAAAGAAAGCAAAATTTGAGTCAGAGTTTAGCAGGCAGGATGTTTATTAAGAAGGGTCCTTGCGAGAAAGATTAGGCAGGGAGGAAGCTACATTGTAATGGAATCCCAGTGACAATTTTGGCTGACCCTGTAGATAGCTTCACTTTCCTGTTGGATGGGTGATTGGACATAGGCCACCCATCATAGAGGTCTGTCCTTTAGAGAGAGTTCTCTGGCTCTCTATGAACATTCTTAGACTCACAGAGCGCTTAGGGCTATCTGGTAAAAGTTTTCCAGATAGCTGGAGTAACAATCCTAAAGGGGGTCTGGGAAGCACATGGCGGGTCCATTACAAGTATGACGTTGATAGAGACTGAGGTGAAATCCAGGGGGTAAGCTCATGGGTGCTGATCATGTGCCAATGTAATTTATTTATGCCTATATTATCCAATTATCTAAAAAAGAGCACGCTATAGCTGAACTATACATATTATGTTTAAAATTTTATAGTACATGTAAGTACCTCTGATTCATCCTCTCCTCCTCCTGTTGAGAACTGCATGCTAAATGTTCTTAGAAGAACATTTTACTATTAACTATCTTAACTCTTCCCTGAAGATAGTTATTCTTCCTGTTGGGCATTTACTATATACTAAAACCTTCATCAAAGTTGTTCTTTACCGCCATGATCAGTGCTATTTTAGAAATAAAAAAACAGTCTTAATTGTTCAAGCAAAATTTTCAAGGACTCTTGATGAGTATAGGGAATTTAAAGATTCTTAACATTCATACAAACTCAAAGCACATACTGTCTGGACATAAGCCATACTTGAGCTACAAGTGTTTCTCAAAAGAAGAAGAAAAAAGAGATGTAAACATACACTCTGAATATAAATCACAGATTATTTTTCTTACAACTGAAAGTGTTGGTTACCTTTTATATACAAGCATGTCCAGATTTTAAACCATCTGTCCCATTTAGAAAGTGGCTCTGTTTTCCATGAACAGATGCTAGTTATAGATCAGTAACTGTAGCCAATGTTAAGTATCTATAATGTGTTATTCAAATGCCTTTAAGTTTACTAAGATATTTGAGACAAACATCTGTTTGACATTTCTTTCTCTTCTCAGACTCTTCAGGAAATTCTACTACTTAAAACTAAAATCAAGTATATCTCAAGAAATTCTACCATCCAGTCTGAAATGCCTCTGTCATGTATTGTCCGTGAGTGAGTACAGAACACCAGTTTCCTGTCCTAGCCTTGGGTTTCAGCTTGTCCTTCCAGAAAGAAACCACCTGAAATGTTATGTGGCACAACTAGGGGTGTGGGAGACACCAAAGCCCGATGGGAGCATAGAGCTCTTGCTCTTTGGCACTGTATTCTTTGGAAGTTATTACAACTGTCTTTTAGAAAATAAGGGCATTAAGAATACTGAAAAATGGCATGATGATAATCCATTGTTGATACACATGTCAGGGTCACTGGAAACCACATAGATCTTAACCAACCAGATCAGGTTTTTTCAGTTTTAAATTTGAGCCCATATTTGAGATTACCGATGGCAATAAACAGATCAAGGTCTAAAAGATACATTAATACTCATCTGGAGTCAAGATCAGCCTTTACCATGGGGGGATAAAGCTGTGGGGAGAGATGGAACATATTATTCTAGAACAGGATCCTTGGGATAAGATTTCATCTCTTTTAGTACCTTACTCATCAGTCCTTTTGAGAAAGTCCATGATAATCTTTAGATTCATCACAACTTGGATCATGTCTTAGCAAAACTCTTTCATAGTCTCGGCAGGAATTAATTATTTGCAAAATTTTTCCATTAGGTTTTTCTGGTTAAAATCTTGAACTGAAAGAAAGTGTTTTCTCCTTCAGCAATTACAGAAGAGTCACATTACATATTGCTCTTCCTGCTGCTAATAATCATTATAATAGCTGCTAACGTTTATTGATCGTTACTGTGCCTGCACTGTTCTAATTACTATGCTTGTGTCAATGTATTTGTCCCTCATGGTAATTCGATGATGTGTAGATACTATTACAATTTTCAGATGTGAAAATTGGGAAGCTGAGAAATTTGCCCAAGATAATTTGTTCAGTAGATGGAGAAACCAAGAAGTAGGTCCAGAAATTTGGTTTCTAAGCCCACAATTCTTAGTACCATAGCAGTGATTATGATGTTCTGGAACAATAGGTAAAAATCAATTGGCATGGTGGTTAAGGCACTAGACTGCCACATGGTTGACCATAGTTAGAATCCTGGACCTGGCAACTTGCTTTCTCACTCTTACCCTCTGCCCCCACCACCTCACCACCTACTCCATCTCTCTCTGGTGAGTGCATGTGCCCTATAACAAATACAGACAATGATACTGTATTAAATAAATAATTATTTAAAAGGCATAAAAATTAATACATCTATTAGTAACAGGAATTTAGTTCCAAGTTCAGCCTTGTAAACATTAGGCTCTAAATAGATCTTAAGCCATCTGTGATATTACCCTGTCTTCTCTCATTTTAGTCGGCATCCTCTTTTAAATCAAGTTGAAAGGAGAGATGATGAAAGCAGTGATACTACTGAATGGGAAATAAAAGTGAACATACACATCACAGATGAAGCCATGGGAATTTCTTCTACAATATGGCCATGGTAAGGACACTCAAAACTGGCATCTTACGATCTTGTCCAGGATAGAAAAGTCAGTACAATTATCAAAGAAATGTCATGTGTTTGTATTAAAATGCATTGTACTCAAAAGGTTTTAGTTCAGAGATGGAAACGTCATGCATTTCTGTATCTGTTGAAGATAGTATTGATCATGGTGGTTTAGTTAATTTGTCACTAACTTGTAGGGATCCCGTATAAGTAAGAGCTATCCCTCTTAGGAAGAATATGAAATTCTATTTTCAATGTAAGGTTAAATGCATATTACTTCCAATATCAACAAAGTTCTGAATCATAAAAAGTATTAATAATGAGTCTACAAAATGGCTTAAATATGTTAGTAATTCTATTAGTGAGCAAACTTAGCATGTTCTCAATTTTGGTTGCAACTTCTTCCAGGAAGGACCAAATGCATATAAATCAGTATGTTCTTTGTTTGAGTCTCATATGAGGGGATATCATGAAAAACAGACACATTATTAATATTTGGTTATTAATAAAGAGATGATGAGAATGATTTAGAGAGAACAGCTAGGATAGTCCTAGAATAACATGTACATCCTAGCTTAAAGAGGCAAAAGTATCCGTATTCACTTATACATGAATGGCTCTTGAATCCTTATACACTTAAGGACATGGTTTCATAGATAGAACATCCTTTCCTCCATTCCCATACATATGTACTGCTTTACTTGTGACTATATTGACTCTTAGAAGTACCTAAATTGGGGCCAGCAGGTGGCTTAGTGGTTAAGGCACTATACTCCCATGTGGCTGACCATAGTTCAAGTACTGGACCCGGTGGCTTGAAACTCATGCTAGGCATTTGTGTGCATATTGAAAATCTCACGAGAATGGAGGAAATTTAGCATGGCCATCCCCTCTGGAGGGTTCTTTCTCACTTTCTGTCTCTGTTTGTCTGTCTCTCTTGCAAACACACATACCCTATAGTAAAATACCTCTTAAAAATAGTTAATTAAGTAAATTATAAAAAATGAGACCCTGGCATTTGATAGAAAGTGGATAAATATGTAAGATTTAATGTTAAATGAAGCAATCCAGACTATGAAGGAGAGGCATTGTATGCCCCCCCCCCCTTAATATATACTGAATGTGTGTACTCTTTGGCAGAAACAGAAAAAGTGGAAGGTATTAAAACAGAGAGAACAACTGTGGATACTAGAGACAATGTGGGAGGAAGATGGACAATGGGGGAACGAGAGGAAGGGAATCAAGGGATAAAAAAAGAACGAAATGTTTAATGGACACAAAAAATGGAAAATGGAAAATTTTCTATTGCTAATGTGTAGAGAGTATCTTTGACTAGTCTGTATTCATGCTGGGAAAGTTCATTTTGTATGTTGTAAAGATGTACAGTAACTAAATAAAAAATAACAAGAATTCAAAGAAAGTAGCTAAGTAATGCTTATATTGACACCTATTTTTTTACTGCATTTCTTCCATTACAGTGAGAATATGAATGTGACATTCGCTTATTTATCAAACGATGTACCATTATTGCAAGAGAAGAAACCATTCGCCTTATATTGAGAGGCAATTTGGAATGTCTGTAGTGACTGCTTAGAACTGAGGACTTACTGTGCTGATAGAAAGATGAGTGATATGGAATGGGATAAAATATTAACTCTCTTCTAGTTAAGACCACTAATTGCATTTTTAAATTGGCATTTATCTTCCTATGTCCCCTTTTAAAAAGAAAGACTGCCTGTGCTTTTACCTGTATGGAATCTTATGAATAAAGTTTGTTCTATCATGTGATTGTTTCTAATTGTTGAAGGGCTGACTTGTGTGTCACTTTAAGCTTTGATGTTCATTTATAAGCACATTTTTGAAAGTAAAATTACTCTTGCCAGGTGATAATTCATGTCCTTAACTACGGCTTCGTCATGGTTGAATCTCATGAAAGTGTATATTCATTCATTTATTCCACAAATAGGTCTTCATGAAATTCATGTTTTAATAGGAGGAGACAATATATATATATATATAAAACAAAAATATACTCTGTAGTATTTTAGGAAAACTCAAATGTTTCTGAGGGGAAATAAGGTAGAGAGGGGGATTGGGAATACTTGGGTGATGGTTATAATTCCAAATATGCCATCAGGGAGACCTAACTAGAAGAAGACAAAAATCCTGCAAAAAAAAAAAAATATGATTCAGGTACTCTATTTTGAAAGTGTCACATTTACGATGCTCATGACTTTTCTGACAATCAAGTAGAATGTTGCCCCAATTTTGATATGGAAAGATGCCAAAATTCTCACACACAAAATATAAGTATCTGTAGTACTTGATACATTGTCTTCGTGTGTGTTAGGTTCAAGGTTATGGACCATCTTCTCACTTCCTTTCCATTCCAATAAGAAAAGTGTTTTTTTTTTCTCCCCAATCATACAATTAAATTATAACATAAAAGTGGTTCATTTACTCTTTTTTCCCCCTTATTGGAAGTTACTAACATTATTAGATCACTGCACATCCTATGCCTCATTTTCTTTTCAATGAGAAATATCAGTTATCTAATGTGATATATGAAGCAACTGTGGCTGCCTGAAGACGGAGAAGCAATAAGTCTAAGTTGTAGCAATCTTCTGAAGAAGACAGAGTTCTTATGGATACCATGTGTTTTAAGTGTTTTTAGTAATCTTCAATTTTTATAAGGCAGACATTTCTTATCACTACTTTTGACAAAGGAACTTTTTATTATACAGAAATCAAATTTAATAAACATTTTTTCTCCTGCTAATGGGAATTTACACTCACTGCGTGATCTTTTTAGGATTCATCTTTGCCTCCGTTTCTTCGTATGTAATGTAGGGGTAACATATGCAGGGGTAACATATGCAGGGGTAGCTGGAAAAGTCCTACTGCAATGTTACTAAAGCTGACCGACTGGGACCAGCAGTTGGCGTAATAGCTGTCACTGGACTCCCATGTAGTAGACCGCGGTTTGCGTCCTGGACCCGGTGGCTTAAAACTCACACCAGGCATGTGTGCATGTGTGCCCAGGATTCCAAGAGGAGAATGGAGGAGAAGGGATTGCAGTGCGGTCATCCCCCTGGGGAGTGATTTCTCCTTTCTGTCTCTCTGTCTCTCTCTGTCTGTCTGGTGAGTGCACGTGCCCTATAGTGAAAACCTCTCAAAAACAAAACAAAACAAAACAAAACAAAAACAAACCAAAAACCAAAAAAAGGCTGACTGTCTGGCTTCTAGAAGACAGAGTTAGGCCTCTGAAACTGGTTTTGGATGTTTATATCTCTCCTGAAGTACTACTTGAAGTTGGTAGTGTTCTCTACTTCTAGGTTTGCTATAGGTATAGGAAATGGTTTTATTCTTTTCTGAATGGCTTCTGGAAAATGCAAGGAGATATTTAGGTTTAGGAAATTCTCATTATTTCCCTAGAATCTGAAATTCCATGTCTGTGTTTTATTAAAACAAACTTATTTGTAAAGCTTTTAATTAGATTTTTTTTTTTTTTGGAGAGGTTTTTTTCACTATAGGGTGCGTGCGCTCGCCAGACAGACAGAGACATAGAGACAGAAAGCAAGAAATCACCCCCCGGGGGGATGGCCACGCTGCAATCCCTTCTCCTCCATTCTCCTCTCGGGATCTTGGGCACGCACGCACACATGCCCGGCATGAGTTTTAAGCCACCGGGTCCGGGACGTGAACCACGGTCGACTATGTGGGAGTCCAGCGACATAGCCATTACACTAACTGCTGGTTCCCTTAATTAGATTTTTTTATACTGCTCATTATAATTATAAAAACAATGTAAATAATGTAAAATAGTCTCAATGCCACTACAGAGAGGTTATTATGGTTATTTTGCTATAGTATTTAAGATAGTTAATAGTTAATATAGTTTATCAAGTTTTTATTTTTTTAAATTTTTTTACTAATATTGATCACATATATTCTCTCCTGATTAAATACAACAGTCTATTTGGACCCTTAGAATTTCTTTTTTCTTTTAAAAATGTATGCATATTTTTATTTTACAATGTCTTATTTATGTTTAATTGTACATCTTTATGGGTACAATATGTTTTTCCAAGGCATGCATGTGGTATGTGACAATCAAGTTGAGGATATTTCCATATTCATCATCTTCAACAAAGAATACGACAAAACTCAGGTCCAACCCAAGACTTTTTCATCGGAGGTTGTATTTTAATAAGAGTTTCACATGGTTCAAATGCATTTAGGGTCTATGTTTAAAAAAGTAAATGGATAATGAGAGTAAGTCTTCGTGTTTATTTTGACCTAAATATAGAAGGAAAAATTCTTCCGTAAGGTGAGAGAGTTACAAGTGTGCTATGGTGTTCTCCCCCTCGTTTTGCTCCCCCATCGCAATCCACCTCATGCTGGAATGTTTACCATGTTTTCAATCCAACCACATACTTTCATATGCCCATGTGGACAAGCTAGGACAAAAGAAAATAACTAGTCTAAATAAGTTGCATCCTGCTATCCCAGTCACTTAAATAATTTTTATATTATACTCTTGTATCTATTTTCCATTTACTTAGCATGGTGAGCAGCCAGTACCAAAACATTCTTCACTAATGGTAAACACTACCATCTACTAATTCCTAGGCCATTTGGTATTACCATAACAAAGCTTTGAGGAGTCCACTGCATCGATAGACTCTGTATACGATTCCCATTCCACAGTCCAGCTAAATTCCCAGCTGACAATCAGCCTCCATTGCCAGTCAAGTAAGTGAGCCCTCTTGGACATCAGTCTAGAAGTCCAAACGCCTCCATTTTACTTTCAAAGTGAACAAGAATCCTCTGCAGCCCCAGGACAGATCATGCTTAATATATGGCTCAGGATATACTTTGTTTCAAATCATCCAAGTGTGGGTGCACTCACCAGAGAGAAAGAGAAAGATACTACCCTGCTCCCCTAGTGGACTGTGGTTACCTCTGCAGTCCTTTTCCTTTCATTTCTCCATCCTGTCAGGATTTGGGGCATCCACATACACATACCCAGCATGGTTTCTCAAGAGGCCAGGGCAGAGATTCGAATGTCAGTCAGCCATGTGGGATCATGGCCATCAACCGCTGCAATATGGGGCTGACCTTCAGGACATAATTTTAGGAGTGATAAAATGGAAAGACACCAAATGCACAGTTTTGACTTTTACCAGTCAGAGTCCTGAGAGGGGAGAATGTTGACAATGAAAACTTGGATGAAGTCAATCATATGCATGAACTTGAAAACTGAGTAGCCTAAAGCCTCTGGATAATACAAGTTGCAACTCCACTCTTCTAGAGAACAGTTTTCCCTTGCCTGAAGAGTCTACAAATAACTCACTTAAGGCAGAATCTTCACAAGATAACGTTCATCCCCTTCATAATGTTTCCCCTTCCTCCACATCTCAGTGTCCTCAGGATGATAACCAGAGTCAGAATGGAAACATTTTCTGGGGGAATATTTATAAATTTTCAAAATTAAGTACATAATATCCATTATTAGGTGTTTTTTTGTTGTTGTTGTTTGTTTTTTTTTGAAGAGGTTTTCCCCTTAGGGTGCATGTGCTCACTAGAGAATGAGAGTGACAGAGACAGTGAAAGTGAGAAATCATCCCTCCAAAGGGCAAAAATGCTCTTGGAGAACTTTCCTTCAGTTCCCCGGAGATGTTTACAGTTATAATAAAAATACTCTTTGGAAAAGAAAAATTTAACCAGAAAAATGTATTTCTTTCCCTGAAGGTTAGACTACAGTAATATTGATTTATTTACCTGAATCAGAATCTCCTGGAGCTTGTTAGAGGTAACTATAAATAGGTCTCAATTTTAGCCTTCCTGGATCATCATGTTTGGCCATGGGGCCAAGAAAGTCATTTTTCACAGGAACTATGGTGGTTATGATGCACAGTATCATCAATCAGTTCCCAAATGATTCCCCAGTATTACACATGTGGAAATTCTCAAATCAGCTTGCAAATTCCTGCTCTTAACAGTCCAATAGAGACATATCAAATGTTATGTAAGACACAGTTTCAGACCCATTCCTCTGCTTAGTAAGACACAATTTGGGTCTAGAACAACTATATATACTATATATATGGTCTAGAACAACTATACATACTGCCCTCTGACTTTCTGTGTCATTATCATTATAACAATTTCAACTGTGAAGTGGAAAAGCAAATTGTGCTAAGGGCCTTGACTGTGCTAAGGATGATAAATTATCCTCCACAGCTGAGGAGACAAGGGGTCTATAAACACCTGGGGAGGCTGACTTGATTCACTGTTTCCTGTGATAACTTGGACTGAGATCTGGAGTGATGAAGATCTCTACTGTGTTAGTAGGGCTTGTCATGATCTTTGAATTGATTCATGGTTTTGAGAATGGTAAGAAAAAAGGGAATGTTGTAGGGTGGCACTTCAAGCAGTAGCATGCTTTCTTACTGTTGACTTTGGAAGTTTGTATTTTGGAAACCGGTGCTCAACTGCTAATAGCTAATGACTTTCTACTCAGATGCACATTTTTTTTTTTTTTAGAGGTTTTTGCTATAAGGAGTGTGCACTCACCAGAAAGACAGAAAGAGACAGAGAGACAGAAAGCGAGAAATCACCTCTCAAGGGGGGATGGCCACGCCACAATCCTTTCTCCTCTGTTCTCCCCTTCGGATCTTGGGCACGCACGCATACGTGCCCTACGTGAGTTTAAGCCACTGGGTCCAGGACTCAAACTGCAGTCGACTACGTGGGAGTTCAGCAACATAGCCATTATGCTAACTGCTGGTCCCCAGATGCACTTTTTATCCAAGTAACTTCACTACTTGTATTTCCTTTTGAGTCCATTTTAAGATGACCTCCAGTTACTGTTATTTTGTCCTTTATTTGAAAACATTTTGAAGTTCTAATTTTCTTTTGCCTGGAGATATGCCATCACTTTGTAGAATCAGAAACATTTAGAGTCAATGGGGAAAGCAAGAGAGACTGCAATGTGTCAAGCAGTGGAGATTGCTCTGAATAGATTCTGCATATGTTTTAATCTGGTTCTGCTGCTTAGTTAATTTATAAGTGTGGAATAATAATAAAATTGACTTCATGCAGAAATAATTAAATAAGATCAAGAAAACAACATACAGAGTTGACAGAGTTAGCAGTCTACAAGAAAAATTTACTGTAGAGAGTCAATGCAATGTTATTGCATTTATTGCAGTAGATGTCTTTACTTTTAACAGCATATCAAAGTACTGTTAATAGTATCAAATATTTTACAAATGAAATCAGCTGATGGATTTTTCCAAGTGTCTCCAATCAAGTATTGAAACGTTTCCATCTCTGTTTCAGATCAGTTATGCTTAAAAATACTTCAAAGATATTTTTGTGATCCTAGGATTTCTTATACTTTCAGAAGAAGAAATTGAGCCATATGACATTAAATAATTTATTCAAGATTTCTCAGTGGAAAATATAGGAGTAGAATAAAAATATTTTCCCTGTCGGGTTGAAATTCAGGTTGACTATGAGACTGAATGTTTTTGGAGCTATTTGGTTATACATGTGGTAACTGACAATTTCCTTCTTCTTTTTTTTTTTTTTTTTTTTCCTTTCATCAGTGATTACAGCTTGTAATGAATATTGGCTGCAGGTCAGAATTAAAAGAAGACTTTATTTGAATTACCAGCTACCCCGGCATTATGAGCTATATCTAGGAACTGGTTGTCCTGTAACTGGAGAGCTGTTGGATTTCTTTGAGTTCCTTTATCCTATCCATTCTTGTGGAATCAAATCTGAAGTAAGAACAATTATTACTTCAACAAATAATATGTCCTTTGGTGTTTTTTTTTTCTTTGTAGAGCCACAGGCAATTACTAAAGCTGTGCTATTAAAATTTAATTGTAAACTGATTTATAGCAAATATAATACTGTCTACTCTCTAAAGTTTGGGGATCATTTCAGGGTCTAAGAGATATTAGGTAAGATGTGGGACTTTAAATACTATGCATTTATTTATCTAACTTCTGCCAACACATCTGTCTTGCCTTTGATGGAGAAATTTTATATTCTGTTTTATATTCTGGGTAATGAAGTATAACTTGTGAGAAACATTTTATTTGAAACACCCTATCCAGTCCCCCCCCCCCCACCTCGCTGTTGTCTAAAAATTCCAACTGAAATAGAACATGTAAGGTTACATAGCTACTGTATAGTTAAAACCAGAAATGTGAAATCCCAGTTTCTGAATAAAATGGATCAGAATTTTGTGTGTGTGTGTGTGTGTGAGAGAGAGAGAGAGAGAGTGAGAGAGTGAGAGTGAGAGAGAGAGAGAGAGAATAAGAGGAATAAGTCACACTCATTAATCAGTTATTTGCCTGTTTGTTAATGAGTATTTAGAGGTTTCAGTTCGTTTGAGCATCATAATATCTAGTGCAGGTTATACTAATTAATAAATAGCCCTCACTTAGTGCCAGGTGATTTACCTACTTAGTCTTCATTGTAGCCCTGTTGACTAGATAGTATTATGTCTTTTTTTAGAGCCAGAGCTGTTGAGACAGCAGCTACATTAAGAACTCGCTCACTGGAACAGCTGAATTTGAATGGAGTGTCAGTGCTAAGGTCTGATCTCTCTCACATCTGTGGATTTTGCTTTTTTGTTAACTTCTTGCTGCATTTAATAATGCAGCTTGGAGCTTGGTTTTCCTGTCTGGCCCCATGTCACACTACCCACCTGTATATATGATTTAGGTGAAGTGACTCTAAATCCAGATATATTACTCATGCCTTTGATTACTGATGTATCCCCAATACCCCGAATATTATCATGTGAATAGCAAATGTTCTACAAATACTGCTTAAATAAAATGCAAATGTTTAAGAAATATTTGAGAGACAAATGAAAAGGTTATGCCAATTGTCCATTCAGATAGTACTGCCAGATCTCAGGGAAACTTTCCAGGACTTTTGTAAGATTTTCTAGGGAATCAGAACAGTCTTTTTCATTGGAATTATAAAGAGGCAGTCTGTAAGCAGATTGGTTCTAAGATTTCAATGAGTCATCCCTGGGTGAAGAAACCGTGAAGAAAAAAGATCAAAAAGGAAAAGATAGGAGTTTTGAGGGGAAGGGAGAGAAATGGGCACTTAGTGATCTGATGAAATTCTTTTATCTAGTCATTCTGTTTTCACACTACAGTGATAAAATAAGTGTGCCATAGAAACAATATGATTTGCAAAGACTGAAATATTTACTGTTTTGCTATGTTCTTCCTCTTCTGAAGGATGGTCAAATCAAGACACAGGGAACTGGAAAAAGATGCAAGTCATTGATGTCATGTTGTTTGTTTATTGGTAGAATTACTGGGTTACTCTTAGTAACACCTGCAAAGTGCTTCCTCCTGCTTGGAGTTACAAGATTTTTTTTTTTTTTATTGGTAGAGTTATTGGGGAGTGTAAAGAACTCTTAGTAACGCCTGCAAAGTGCTTCCTTCCTCTTGGAGTTACAATAAACGGAGCTGAGCTGAGCTGAGCTGAGGCCTACCTCAGGCCTTGGTTCAGGGAACCAAAACTGAGCTGAGCAAGAATAGCTAGTTGGCTCACTAAGCTGGCTGCTTCCTTTCTCTTAAAGCGGGCTGCAGACAATAGTGGTTCTTTGGTAAAACCAAGCTGTCACAAATGCACATGCATGTTACATGCCTAGAAGAGCAAAGTCATAATTACATCACAAGTGCAAGGACACTCACAAGTGTGCAAGGACACTACAACTAACAACAGAAATTGGTTATTCTGTGACATTAAACCATGAGAGAGGAAGTAAAGGAGCAGGATTAAACCATCCTGTGTCCATTTGTTTCTGCATTTACTCACTGGTCCATTTCAGAAAGTGTGCCAAAACTTGTTTTATAGTATCTCTAGTCTATAAATACAATCTGTTCCGAAGTTGTCAAGTATTTAGCCAAATCTTGCACCAGGAATAACTTGCATTGTTCATCCTGTAACCCAGGTTTGCATAAATCTAACCCTTACTCCTAAGTGACTGTGGTATCTCAAATATTGTTTGTGAAGACTTAACTGCCAAACAAATAAAATATCCCTCATGCTGTGCCACAAATTATTTGATATTTTTTCTAAAAACAGACTTTTTATTCCTTTTCTGTTTTTCTACTTTGTATCTAATTTATATAGTGATGTAAACAAGGAGAATGCATATGTTCTATTCATAAATTAGTCTGTATTGCTCAGACCTAATTAAAATAACTGATTTTTACACTCTTTTATCTCTTTAGGTGCGTCCATGGGGTATTCTCCTTGAAAGTTTCATCACTTATGTACCAATGAATTTAGATATCGGTGTTTACTTTCATATATCATGCTGTATTCAAAGGTACGTGTAGGAGACCCTTGAAATTAAGGTAATCTAATATTAACTTTGCCTGCTAGGTGTTCTGGTAAAACTGTTGGACAGTATGCTGAGTTTGCGCTTTGGGTCCAGTTTAATCTACCTAGTTCTGCTAGTCATGTGAGATCTAAACAGTCAGTTGATTTTCTCAGTATCTTTTGAATAAATGATGGGGCTCACCTACTGAAGTATGTACTGTTAGCTGACAATATGGTTCAGCCAGAAGTCCGCTCAGTTGGTTTAGATCCTGAGTTCTCAGCGCTCATAAATTACCTCTAGAAGTATCAAGAGATGCCAGTAATCCTTAGACTCATGGGTCAGTGCTATAAATTTGAATGGTTTATGTTTAATAATTACTTATAAAATCAGTTGATATGAAAACAAATAGTTCCGAGTTTTATATGCCACACAAGTTTGGAATTGTCTGCTTTTTCCTGTTAGCCAAGGCTTAACATGTAAGAGTTGAAGAATAGAGTCAACAAAGATAGTATGTGAGAATATTTGTATTGGTAAACTTCTTTGAGGTGCTCTTTTTCTGTACCTGCCACCCCAAACTTACCCATTCCAGTGTCTAAAACAGGAGCTCTTAATTCTTATACAAACATAGCATGTGCCTACAGACAATTGGGTCAAAGTTGGGGATGACCGAAAGATTCAAATTCTCAGTATTTCTCCAACATTTTAAACTAAAATGGAGTCAGTCTCTGGCAATTTGCTCTGAGATATAAAAATCAAGACTTGCTAGAGGTAAATATTTTCTTCTAATTCGATTAGAATGTCTCCTGATATAAGAGAATGAAGAGGAGTCTATAGATGTAGATCTAATTTCTGTGCACTTGGAGTTTTATCTTATTTTTGTAAATCGCATTTCTTTCCTGATTTTATTTTTTTCCAATAAAGAATATGAGACATCCCCAACAAAGTCTCTGTGCCAAGATCCATCATCAGTCTAAACTAGCCTAGCTCATGAATGGGCACACACGTGTGTCCAGTGTACTCAGGGAAGTCCGACAATACAAACCCAGGACTTTTCCTGTGTGGGTCCAGTTGTGTTTCTGCTGTACCACTGCCTGGTCCCTGGTGTTTTCAGTGCAACCTATTATTGAACAGTTCAAGCTCTGTGGAGACTAGAGAAATAGAAATTAAATAGCTACATTTATTTAAATATCACTGACTATCAACTATGCCGTGTAAAATCTCCTTTCTCTGTTACTTAATAGCATTGTTGGTCCTTCTCATTTGTGAAAACGTAAGTCTAGTGTCCATCTTAATTTTATATGAAATTAAATATGTCTTTCTTTAAATATACTTCCAACTCAGTGTACAAAGAACTTGGAGAGGACTCAGTATTAAACTATGAATATTTTCTCCTTGGTTTTTCTGCAACTTGCTGTGTTCAAATATGACAGACAACAAAAGAAATTGGGAGACACAAATGTTTGAGTTCCGTGGTATAATTGTGGTTTATTTTTAGTAACACTGGCTAGTTAATATGCCCTAAACTCTGAAGGGTAAACATTTTTCAAATTATGAATGAGTTTTTTTGGGAACCTATAGGGGAAGGTCACTCTACTGCAGAATTTCTGAGGTACAATCTAGATAAAGTTTTATCTCTTCCACAGAACTGTCACCCTAGCCCTTCCTCCTCAGCCTCTGTTTTCTATCTTGGTTATCATCATTCATCTATATTCATCATATTTATATATATATTTATGTAGCATCTTGTTTTCTGGGGATTTCCTCTCCATTTGACAAATATTTGGGGGTGGTATCCTAGATAAAGAGGTAGAAACCTGAAATTTGAGGAATAATCTCCTAACTATGCTCTGCTGAATGGTAAGGGAATGTTCTAATCTGCCCCCCTCTTCTATTCTTGCAATCTTTCCTGCGCCATTCTACTGCATGAGTAGATAACCAGTTGGGAGTAAGATGTCAGTCTTCTTCACTAGGTACTCTAGTGTTTGAGGGGTTGATGTAAAACATCGCTATTTGGCTTCATAAAGGGAAGGAGAATTTTAGTGACCCATGCACTCTTTATTATAAGTCAAGCACTCAAAACTGTATGTCTCTAACCATTCTCTGAAGACATGTGTTGAGAAGACTAGAGATAACAGAGCTATTTCTAGAGATAACAAAACTATTTCAGCCATGTATTATGTTTCTGATATCTGACGCTTCTATGAAATCTACTTTGGGCCCCAATAATATTATCTGGGGTTAAGGAGTTCTATTAAACATTACTATAAGAGCTTTTCCTTCTGTGAAGTATACATTTTCATTTCCCCCAAAAGTTGGTTGATTCGTATTCTATAACTTAAAATTCTAACCACAATCCCACCTTCATCACCACCCTCCCAATAGTATATACATGTGCCAAATCTATATATAAATTTTTTTTTTCCAGAAGGGTTTTATTCATTTATCCAAATAACATGATTGGGAACAACAGCCCTGCATACAAAAAGTCAATGAGGAAAAGTAACACAACTTCACAACAACAGGAAAACTCAGGAACCCATTCAGGAGTGACATTTGGGTAAGTATATTGACTTTGCACTGTCAGCATTTTCTAATACATGTAAGGAAAAAAGCAAGGGTTTAGTGAGTGGTGACATTCACCCCACATTGTGTACCATGTACCCACAGGATTTCAGCTCGGAATCATTGTAACCACGATGATCTATTTTTGCATTTTATTTTATTGTAACAACACAACATATCTATCCTCTTAACAAATTTGTAAGTATACAGTACATGATTGTTGCCCATAGGCACAATATTGTACAGCAGCTCTCTAGAGCTTATTCATCTTGCAAAACGGAAACTTAGTACCTGTTGATTAGTAAGTCCCCATTTTCCCCATCTCATAGATCCTAGAAACCACCGTTAAACTCTTTGATTCTGTGGATTTGACTAATTTACATATCTCATTTAAGTATAATCATGTAGTATTTATTTCTGTTACTGGCTTGTTTTATTTAGCATAATGTCCTCATATTGCAGAAATCTCTTCTTTTTCAAGGCTGAATAGTATTCCACATATTTTTCTGCATTCATTTAGCAGCCAATGGATATTTAAGCTGTTTTTCACATCTTGTCTATTGTGAATAGTTAAACAAAGGACAGAGGAGTGCTATGTCTTTGAGATCCTAATTTCAATTATTTTAGATAAATCATCATGAATTTCTACAGTGATTAGGGATGTAAGTGTCTAAGCATTTCTCATTATTTTCTCAGTTAAAACATAGCTATTGAGGGCATAATTGAAAAACTGCTATTTTATCAATCCCAAACCAGCTGGGGAAAAATCTTTGGTGACTGTAACATACATATGAATGGGACTAAGAATTTTCATGAAGTTGATATACACGCAATTGATATATATATAATAACATGTATGGTAACTAACATCAGTGTTTTGTTCTGGGAACTGAATGCCTGAAAGAGAAAACCCTTTTTAATTAAGTCATAATTAAAAGCCCTTTTAATTAAGGGACGACTCATAGCCTCTGGCCCTCAGTATACAAGCTGAGACAGATCTTTTTTTTTTTTCTATATATCAATTGATATTTTAAAATAAAACTTGTGATATTGCTTATGCAAAACTTATAAACACTTATTAGTAATTGTATATACAAATTACATATCTGCTATACTTGTTTTAAAATTGATGTCCTCTTTCCCCATGTTCCCACCTTAGTATGCATCAATGACTCTCTAGTTATATGAGGAGTCTTTAGAAAGTTCATGGGAAATGAACTTTATGAAAAAAAAAAACTATGCATGGATTTCAATTTTTTTGCACTAAATAAACTCATACTTTAATTTCAATTTTTTCCCATGAGCTTTCTGAAGTCTCTTTGTGTGAGAGTTTCCCATCACTACTATTTCGTGACTGTTTCTTTTATTTTATTATAGGAATAACTTTCCCCCTGATGGACAACATACATTTTATCCCTCTAAGTTAAGTGTAGATATTGACCTATGAATTCTGGGTGGGGAGGCAATTTTAATACCAGTACTCTGGCTCCTTGAGAACTGAACTGTCTACTGGAGCTTGGGCTGATGTCTATGAATATCATCTTTTATCTATTTAAAAGCCATCTTTTGAAATGAACTTTCTCCAATCATATTTGTGGACTCTTGGTGTGGGAAGGAATGGAAGGAGTTCACTTGGATTTTTAATTTATAATGAAGGAATTTTTAACAATAAAATTTTGTAATTCTTTGTAGTGATTTCATTTATTAAAAAAGCTTAAATCCATACTTACATGACATTGTAGACTACTACATGAATATTTTTTTAAAAAAATTATTTATCATTTATTTTTTTAATTTGACCAGATTAAGATGAGAGAGAGAGAAAAGGTACCAGAACCTGGTCTTGAACTGCAGTCAGCCTTGCTTTAACCACAACACCACCTGTTGGGTCCACTATATGACTGTTGGATTACATACTTTTCTGGGTTACAATGAATAGTGATTATACTGTAATCTAGTTCTCTTCTTAATGCCCATTAGGGTACTTCTTTTTGATGATATGTGTAAACTAGGAGAAAATCGAAGTTCTCTATAACTTCATGTGAGGCAGTATACTATTTTATTCTCTGCCTCCATCTTTCTTGTATTGTTTTCAGTTTCCATCCCAGTCCTCTACTATGTGTGGTGATATGATTTGTTTACCACAGTTTAAAAATTTACGTACATCCACCTTACTCATATGAAGCAGTTGAAATTAAGGATCAAAATAAGATTCCAGTTGGTTTCTGCTTCATTTCTATTAGCTTTGAACCAACAGTATACCATTCAAAAATATATATATACTTTTGGCTGTTTTCTTGAAACTTTTAGGTATTTTTGCTGGAAAGACAGAGACAGAAAGTGAGAAATACCCCCCCCCCCCCCGGGGGATGCCACACCACAACACAAAGGAAAAAACCCCCCCCCCCCCACGGGGGATGCCACACCACATTCCCTTCTCCTCCATTCTCCTCTTGGGATTTTGGGCACAGATGCACATGTGCCTGGTGTGAATTTAAGCTGCCTGGTCCAGGACTCAAACTGCAGTTGACTATGTGGAGCAATGTAATCATTATGCCATCTGCTGGTCCCAAAACATTTATGTTAATCTCTGGCTTATAAACCAGTTGGCAAAAGTTGCATGTGGGTCTTCATTACAATATTTTTCTTTTCATTTTGATTTTTCTTCTCTCTCTTCTCACTCACTTCCTTTTTTTTTTTTTTTTCTGTAGAGCACATGAACTTGCCAGAGACACTGAAAGAAAGTGAGAGCTTTCTTCCCTAGGGGGATGACTATACTGCTATCCCTTTTCCTCCATTCTCCTCTTAGGATCTTGGGCACACATGGTCACATGCCTGGCATGTTTTTATTTTTTTCAAGCCACCAGGTCTAGGACTTGAACCACACAACTGGCCATATAGGATCCAGTCGCCTTAACCTCCAAGTTACTTGCTGGCCCTTCTTTAGTTCTAGTAAAACTGTCAAAAACATAGGATAGTCCCCTGAATAAATGAGTTTTCCTTTCAGTCTCTACCTTTCTTTGAATTAGCCAACCAAAGAGAGGATTCCTGACTCACAGAATTCCCACTTTGCAAGAGATATGGAGCCAAGATTCCAAAATAGACTAGCAGAAGTATATACAATGTGTGAGAGTGATTCTCTTCTCACCAATAGACTGGAGATTGAATTCTCTTCTGAGAAAAATTGAGAGAAAGTTGAAGAGAAAGTCTGTAATTGCCATAGAATGCAGACATCTGGTATATATTGAGCAGGGATATACAGTGTTTTATAGTCTGACTTCACTTAGCATTTAATCTTCTATATTCATCCTTTTTGCATCAAATAACAGAGCCTCATTGTTCTTTATGGCTGAGGAATACTCTATAGTGTACATATGCCACATTTTTCAATCCCGTCACAATGTAAAATATACTTGAATGTAAGAGTGTGATTTTTTATTCAAATCTATAAGGAAATAATTTTCATTCTTTTCTGGAGAGAAATGAAAGTACTACTGATTGCTAAATTTGAGAATAATTTTTCTATTTGAATTACTATAATTCCTTGCATCAACTGTCCATCCACATAAAGTACATGTTATCTATATTATTATAATTCTTTTGACCTAGATATTTATTAGACTTATATTAATAAAATTTTAGGAAACCAAGAATAAAAATAGCTTTTAAAAGAAAACAAAGTTGATTTTTTGTTTTGTTTTGTTTTAAACAAAGAAGTGTTTTAAGAGAAAAATCCTTGATGTTTGTTGTATCTGGTTAATCTGTCATCACAAAAATTATAGGATAAATGGTTATGCTCTAACCACACAGTATTAAAAATCAACTTAAAATTGAACAGATCAATAACCAGAGACCAATTTATAAATCTTCACATATTTATAAATAAGAGTATACAGATTCCCAAGTTTCCATTTATAAATATATTGCATAAAGCATATCACTTGTGAAAACACATCTGTAAAATATCAGAAAACAAGATCTAACATCTTAAAACTTACATAAGAATAAAAATTGAAACTGTATATTGTTATTTTTGGGCACACATGCACATGTACCAAGCATTATCCTCAAACTGCCAGGTCCAGGACTTGAACCATGATCGGTTACCCACTTGAGGTACTGGCCATATGGGAGTCCCAACACCTCAATTACTACGCCACCTGCTGGCTGTATATTAAAGCATTCTACAAAAGCATATTATTACATAGATTAAATAGAAAGAATTTGTCTTTGTTAGGCACTCTTCTGAGAAATTTACATGAGTTCACCTTTTAATCTGGTGACAACAACCTGCCAAGTAATCAGGTGTCAAGTTGGTCAATTAGTATAACATGTCAAACTGAAATAAATGTTCATTCAAGAGATGAAAAGTTGTTCTGACTTTCTACAACACAAAGAGATAGGAGGGAAAAAGTACTAAGTCCATGTAGAGAAGTGTATCAGATGAGGCCATTGATAAGGAAGCCTCTGAAAGGAAGTACCCAAGCTAGGTACACACATGTGCATATAAACAAGATTTTGTGTATATATATATATATATATACACACATATCAAATCTGCTAGAAAAGTAGGAGGAATCTGAACCCTTGACTACAATTTTCTTCAAAAACATACAACATGAGAATGTACCAAGTATGATGCAGCAGTTCCTGTCCAAACCCTGTCTGCATTTCTGTGAGATGGATCAGGCAGAGCCGTTGTCTATGGTCATACTTGGAAGATCACACATAGTATTTTGGTCTGGAGCTAGAGTACTTCTCTCTATCCTTTGACTTCTTAGGGTCCTAGAAAAAAGCACAAGCTACCATATTATGGACTCAAGTGAAGTGGACATTGAGGGGATGTGACCACAACCATAAATCTGTCAGAACGATAGCAGTCTAGTGTCATGCTCAAAATCACACCAAGTAAGATGATCAGACCAACTGGGAGGAAATGAACCCCAAGTATGACCAAGGCAGAAAAAGATGTCTCATACCCAGTTAGGATCTATTATAGAGAACTAGGGGGCCAACTGCCCAAGACTAGTAGTGGACTGTTCTACTTTGTCAATTTCACCAATTCAGGTGCAACATAATGCATTGGTAACTGCATAAGCTTCTCCTTGATTAGCCAGCAGGAAGTTGAGGCCTATGGAGCTATCCAATCCTCCTTGGGTCAAGATGTTGAGGCTGTTCTGCTCTGCCTCCAAAGCTGAAGTAGTATCATTATGGGCCTAAAACAGGGTCAAGAACATTGTAAACACAACTTTTTTGACTCAGATAGCCTTGACAATGGGAATAACTTCTTAGAGTATGAATATGAGCGGAGGGTGGTAATGCCACCTAGAAACTCTCCTGAGTAACTGGGACGGCCTGCATTTGGAACCCCCAAGTTACTTGGCCTAATGTGGTATGCTCAACTGAGGAGAGTGCTGTTTTGAATGAAAATCTCTCATCAATGGCCCATATACATATGCTACGTCGGTAGAACGATGTTTTCCATAAGGGAAATAATACGCCAAATGAGTTCACATAGTGCTGGGAATGAAAGAGTCTTTGACTTCCATGGGAGTAAACCTGATAGAAGTTCCTCCTGGTAAGCAGAATCCTTGAGTGGAATGGAGTTCACATAGAGCAGAGAAAAGTACGGTAGAGAAGAATACTACCAGCATCACTCTTGAAATAGTCCTGATGGTGGATTTAGTATCTCCTCAAGATGTTCCAACTTTATTCATTTTTGACATGGATGACTTGACATTTATGCAGGTATTTTGCTCCTGTGGTGTTAAAACTCTTGCAGGAATAAATTGAATCCAGATTTTTAAGGTTGGGATACCTGAGGTACCAGAAACATCCATTGTGGAGAAATGTCTGTCTGTGATATTCAGTGGCAGAACAATCAGATATTTATCTTCAGAATTAAATAGTAGTTAACATATTAATGGTTTTATTAAAATCTCCAGGTGATGGTAATTGCCCAGGACTGCCAAACCAATGAATCTAGCAAGGCAAAAGTTGTATGGACTACTCTGTGAAAGTGAGGTTAGATCTTTTTTCCTCAATCCCCCATATTTGTGCTTTCAGGCCCAGAGTTGGTTATGTCCTATCTGTTAGTGTAATTCCTCACCATCAGCTCTTCTGACTTGGATCCTTTTGTAGTCTAATAAAAATTTCTATTTAATATACCGGTAGCTTTATTCTGAGGATGCAAAGGCAAAGTGACAGGGCCACATTAAGGAAAATGAACTCAAGACTTCAAATTGGTGGTCATTATTTTTGAGGTCCTTGTAGGCAAATAATTCCACCTCTGTACTTTGCTGAGAAGCACAAACTGCTCATGGATTATATTCCTATTCATCAGTGCATAGACCTTTAGATGAGCACTCACATTGGTAACAAAAAGTGTGTTAGCTGGATAACAAACTTTTATCCAACTATCTCATTCCATAGGGCTTAGTTTATGTGTCAGTCCAGGTCTGATTCCAGTCTGACCAAACAACCAAGCCATTAGTCAGGGAAAATATAATATGGTTTATTTGCTAGAGTGGCTTGGATAGTCATCCATGTTTCATAAAGCTTTATCCATTGTGCCAGTCATCTTACACCATGATCAGTGAAGGAAAATTCTCTGTTGGGTTGGAGTATAACCTTGTTCTCATCCATTACTGTTGAAGTTAATTAGAGAAGCTATTAATGAACCCGGCTCATGCATGATCTACTGGTCCCTGCTGGACCAGTAGAAGCAATGGCTCCTTGGATGATATACCTGAGAGTCCAAGAGACATTTCCAAGACATTTTTATGGAGTTGCAAGCCTCTAACTTGTTCATATTGTGTCTGTTTCCATATATACCATTTCTGGGTCACTACAGAGAAGCTAGCTATGTCTGGTGATTTGCGACCTCTGTTTGGATTCACAGCGTGATGGGGACTTCATGTTATAAGACAGTTTCATTGTCATGGGTCATATGCTTAGTATCTACCAAGGTCCCCAAACAGGACAATACATTTCTGCTAAATATTTAAAAAGAAAATTAATGTTTTAAAAAATTCT